TCTTATCTAATGATATCTGATCTGTGAATCCACTGTAGAATTGGGTTTTCCTCACGAGGTTTTGCTTCTTATCACAGGACGGAGTGTTTGAATACGACGTCTCGTATCCAAAAGTAGGGCTTATTTTGAAAATTTTGTTTAAATAGTTTGCCATTAATTTATTGCTTACATAACAACACAACTCATATCCACACTTACCAGAGCTATGGGCCGCAGAATTTTCTCCTTTATTTCGATTCCGTCTATCAATGGCCAGCCGTTTACAAGACATCCAAAGTAATTATACATTTGTATTAAATAAATTAAAACATAAGTTATTGATTGTTTTGATAACATCTTTATTGGAAAATATTTTCTTACTATAAAGCAATGATTATTTTGTTTTATAATTTTTCTTTTTAATTTCTTTATTTAAGATTTTATTTTCGTTTTCCATAAAATTTTTCATTAATTTAAGATTAAATTTTGTTTAAAATAAATTTTACACTTGTTTTGTTTGGCGAAGACGTGCGACGAAAGGCACAAGATTTTGGACAACGATAACAATCAAATAATCAGTTTAACCAATTTTACGACTCAAATCAAGTCGACCCACGCGTCCGGTTGTGGTGAGTATCGGGAAAAGTATGACAACAACACAGTGTGGTATCGCTGCACACATTACCGCAAATTTCACTCATATCGGGAGCGCTGGTGGTTCATCGCACTCGACAATTGCCGCTCAACTCAGGTATTGTTTGCAGTAATTACATAATTATAAAAACCTATTAAATGTTAATTATTACACAAATTGCTTGAAAAAGTATTAATTCTTAAAATATTTCAATTATTAATGAATTTGTACCCAATGTCTGTCCAATTGGTACAGGGATTGCGTTTGAGGTATAAGATAACAATGACCAACAATGTCAACGACGGATGGCTCAGGCATTTCTCAGCCGATGAGTTTTGTAAGTAGTTTTACATATTCTCATAATTATAAAAGAAGTTTTTTTTGCTAATATCTGCTAACATCTCATGGATTTGGTTACCTATTGACAGATATATTACATACGGATCTCATATTTACGATACTATATTACGCTCTATTCATCGCATCGTGTTTTGAAGCCTGTATGCAGTGGTCACCAAAACATATACCCAGNTTTTTTGCTAATATCTGCTAACATCTCATGGATTTGGTTACCTATTGACAGATATATTACATACGGATCTCATATTTACGATACTATATTACGCTCTATTCATCGCATCGTGTTTTGAAGCCTGTATGCAGTGGTCACCAAAACATATACCCAGGGATCACCTCATATAACATTAAATTTTAATAATAGAAATATCATAATGATAGATATTTTAAGGCTAGGTGATTTGTGAAGTGTTAGCTATATGAGACACCCGATGGCATTACTTGCAATGTTCTAACCGGTCATCCCTGGGATATATTGATTTAAATTTAGTTTAAATTAATTACAAATCTATATCCTATCAATAGATGCCTTATTCTCACGACATTTATTTCACATAACGTACAAAATGTATTTGACATCACTTTTGTCAGGTATTCACACATTAATAGACAATTATTACATATTTATATTCATTATTTAAAGTCATGAGAGTTTCTAAACCTATTAATT